GTGCAGTGGTTTATGTTATAATAAACCTTTGGGTTAAGTTGTCGCAAGCAGGTTTTTCTTGTGTTTCTTGTAAATTTGGTCTTAAATTTTTATTTCAAGTGGCATTAAAAAGTCTTAGAAAGTATTAAATTTAACTCGCTTTATGCTGTAGGAACCCTGTTAAAAACAAACAACAGATCCAGATCTTACATTCCAGATTCCACTACCTACCATGTTTTAATTATCATCTCTCTTTCCCATATTTAATTTTCTGTGTCCAGATGTTTTATTTTACTGGACCTGCTAACTTCCGCCCTCAGTTAGTGGCGCCATGAAGCCGTTAACCCAGCAGGTCTCCCCTGCAGCGTAACGAGGCTCAGCGGTGTGGGTGACCTCAGAGGTGCGGAAGGAAGATGCTGCTGCTGAAGTCTGTGTTGTTCTGTCTGTGTTAAGGTGGCTGAAGTTCGAGGAGGACGTGGAGGACGGCGGCGAGCGTTGGAGTAAACCCTACGTAGCCACTCTGTCCCTGCACAGCCTGTTCGAGCTGCGGTCCTGCATCCTGAACGGCACCGTGCTGCTCGACATGAGAGCCAACTCCATCGAGGAGATCGCAGGTCAGCCGGCCGGCCGACGGCGCCGCCGTGAGCCGCTCGCTCGTTTCAGCTCGTTAAACACCTGCCGTGTCCTCCTCTCAGACATGGTGATCGACAGCATGCTCGCCTCCGGCCAGCTGGAGGAGGAGCTGCAGGACAAGGTGAGGGAGGCCCTGCTGAAGCGTCACCACCATCAGAACGAGAAGAAGCTGAGCAACCGCATCCCGCTGGTCCGCTCCTTCGCAGACATAGGCAAGAAGCACTCCGACTCCCACCTCCTGGAACGTAACGGTGAGGCTCCGGCGCTCCTGTCATCCTGCGCCCCATTCTCTGCTTTCAGTCCAAACACAGACGATCGGTTGATCATCCCATCCTGGTTTTTCCTCCTTTAGTTACTGTCTTCAGCCTCCAATCCAACTCTGGAGATGTTTGGGCTTTAAATGGTCCTGGGAGCTTCACCTTTAGAACTTATTATTGAGGGAATTTTGTTTATTTCTTGAATTTAATCAGAATATTTGAATCTTTATCGTCGGGCAGAGTAACAGGATGACACGGCGGCGGGTGTCTGGTTGGAGCATGTCAGCATGAACGCGGAAACCAGAAACCTGGTCCTCATGTGGTTAAGTTCTCGTCTTTGAGCTGGGTGTGGGTGTGGCCTTCGACTGTCATGACGTCTCATTAACAGAGTGTTTAATGATCAGCTGAAGCTGTCGTGTTATTGGACCCGCCTGCTGGGTCGGCTAGCTAACAACCAGCTAACAACTCATAACGATGAATATTGGTTCTCGGGTCTCATTAGAGGATGAGAGGTGTCCATACGCCAAGTTTCAACCATCAGTGGGAAACTTATTTTTTTCTTCTGGTTAAATTTGCATGTTTTCTAAGTCAAAACACAGTTTTTTGGGCTGTTCTATATAGCTCAACACTGATTCTGACATTTTGAATTGAAAAACCTTCCTGGATGGGAAGCAAAACGTCTTCAAACTTGGAAACAAAGTCAGTGGATTGTTTTTTAACTTTTTTGGAAGCAAGCATACATATCTTAACTAATATAATCTAATAACCTAAAACAAAATGCATGGTCTGGTTCTTCCATGTCAGGTACGCCGGTCATTGACTTGACTCTACCTTACAGTAGAACTGCAGTCAGTCCCTGGACTGGCATGGCTAGCAATGCCCCTACAGAGTTAGCATGGCTATCACTGCCCCTACA